ATATTTTCAATTACCAGACAACGAATTAAACGCTAAACAAGATTTTCTTGCAACATTGTGTGAATGATGACTGAAATTGTGACTTTGTCCTTCTTTAGTTTTTTGGACAAGATATGTAGAGAAACAAATCTTGATTTGACTTTATCCGAAAGAAATATATAAATATTTCAGTGAGTCACTACTTTTCCCCATTGTATTTGGATGAAAAATGATTCATTTCTTGTTTTCTTCTGAAAATTAATACTTTATCAATAAACTAAGAGAGAATTTCATACAGATCTATTACAAATGAGACGCACACTTGCTTCCTAATTCAGTACAGATTGAATTTCAACAAGATATCAACTTTCAAAATAAATGCAACATGTGTTTTATCAATTTATTCCAACTATTTTCATAAAGAACTGTCTAGTAAAAGAAACTCAATTCTTGTAAATATGTATTTAAATAAAATTACCAAGAAAAAATCTCAAGTTAATTTTAATATTGTAATCTTTAATTTTTCTGAAATTTTCTATTTAATATTACGATAAAACTATCTTCTGTTCAGCATAGATTTTTTTCTGCATCTGATACTTCTATTGATCCTTAATCCGTTTTCTCCCACTACTTCATCCCGCATTGTTATCTGTTTGTTAAAAGAATTTAACTATAGCAACTTATGTTTTAATGCAGTTTTCGAACTACTCTAGAACAAACTCCAATGAGTTAATGTTTTTCATAAGAAAACTACCTATTACTCACAAAATTTTCCCTGTGGAGAAAAGAATCTCTTTTTGCCGCAATGGGAATCAAAGTTCCATTACAAATCTATTGTGTGGGAATACCACACTGAAAAATCCAAATCCAAATCATAGATGCGGATATATATATGTAAATAAAAAAAATTTTTATTACAATATTGTGTTATTGTTACGCTTTATTAAGCTGATTATTCAAAAAATCTATGAATTCTTATAATATAGACAGCTTTATTGACTATCTTAAGAGAATTTTTTTTTTATTGTTCCATTTTAGGAATTTCTTAAAACATTAAACACCTTTTATCTTCCTTCTTGGCGCCAAAGTTTTCATTGATCGCGAAGTGTATAGAAATGAACTATAAATATTAAAAATTGGTTATATTGTGAGTATTAATTATTGTTGTGCACTATCAGGTGATGACCGAAAACTCGAACATATCCTAAAGAATATTCCATGAAAAAATCAAGTTTTTGAATTTTTATATTTATCAAAGTATGTCTTCTTTGACGGTGAGGGTGAGAACGATGTGTATGCGACTCTTTGCTCCAATTTCAAGCACTGATTATGCTCACACGCTATGAGGAATGTTCATTGAGGCGGTGTTAACTAGTTTTTTAAACAAACCATCATGGTGCGGTAGAGGCACAGAAGATGCTATAACAATGCGATTATAGCAGTGGTCAAGTGATGGTAGCTTTTCTTTCGGAAGACATTATAAAACTACATCAATTCTGCACGAAATTTCAGTTTCTGTAAATGTAACACACTGAGACTAGATGAATATCAACGATTAATAACAACTATTCTTGTTCAGCATTATCACAGCAGCGAAATTCGAGACTTTTTTTTTTGAATGCTGTGAAAGAAATGGCAACTTTTTTTTTTGTAGTTCATAGCAGTGGGATCGTGTTAGTTTTTGGGCGCGATGTACATCTTTGCACCCTGTTAGAAATTATTATTCAATAATGTTCATATTCATAAGAGCAATGTTCAAAAACTCTGCTTGGATGCTCTGTTCCATTGACATTAATGAAAAACTATCTATACTGACGAGTTTAAAATAAATAATGCTGCGATTTTTTCAGAATAGTTGCCCTGTTTATGTTTCAAAGTTCCCTAGTGAGATATGTTTCATGTGTGATTATTTGGAGAACGAACAGTGTTACTATGAAGCAATTAGAAAAACAAAATAGTCGCCATATAAAAATATCTTTATAATCAATATAAATATGAATTCTTAACATATTTAGATCATCTGCTTAAATTATCTCAAATAGACTCTAGTTTTCTTTTCCATAGAGTGGTTTTTTGACTGCTTCATATACAAATATAAGCTTCTCGCATCAATCTCTCGAATCAGAGAAGGCATAAAATAAGCGGAAATTTCTTAGGTCATCGTCCATTCCCCGCCCTCATGCTTTTTTTTTTGGTTAAGAAATATGCTAAGTTAGTTATTTGGAAAAGGCAGGCTATTACATTTCCACTCATGATAAATAATTTTCTTTATTAAAGGATCTCGGGAGAGAAAATAGAAAATCTGCTATCTTCCACACAAACTTTATTAAAATATGCGTTCTAGGCAAAATTGAGCTTAAGTAGAATTCGCTTTTAATTAGACACAAAACTACGAACTAATTCTCTATTATTTAAAAATGAATTCTAATTTTCGTCTGTATTTTGAAGTCATCGTACGTACGTTTTTCTTTATTGAACAGAGTATTTTTTTTCACTTACCCAATATTGTAATATAGGTACTAATGACTTGTGCATTGAAATGGGAATATGATTTTCGAAAGTATTTTTATCAGTAATCGAAGTAATATTTAACATTTTTGAAGCATTAAATTCTGAGAGAATGCAGTTATTTTTCTACTAGAGAAAATATATAAGCAAAGCAATCTTTCATTTTTGTTTGGATTCGGAAATAACTCCGTAAAACTTTACAACTTTATCTACTTATACTATATATATCATATATTAATCACGCTAAATTAGGTGACACATAAACATAGTTAAGAAAGTCTACTTAAAAAGCATAAACTTAAATATCCTTTCTCTTTCTTGATTGGAGCTTATTATAGACAAACTAGATTTTAATTGGATACACTTGCGAACTCTACAACTTTTAGCTTGAGTTATATACTGTCAGTATGAAAAATCATTGGATTTTACACCTAATGATGTGAGGGACTTGATCTATACCAATGATTGGAAGTCAATGTGGCCAGTAGTGTTTAGGTTTCCAAAAAAAAGGAAGTCTATGAAATTTCATGTATTTTTCTTCCTTTTTGTTCGAAACTTCGCAAAACGATGTAATTACCGAACTTCTTGAACTTTTCGAGATCCAGTATATATCAAAATTACAGGAGTTTCTAAATTTTCTAGAATTTCAAATATTTTTGAAACCTTTGATTTGTACTGCTATATGGTTATCAAGCTGATGGCAATTTTGGGAATTTTGGAAATCTCTTTTTTCAGAAATAGGAACATATCTCAATATGGCTCTTCGACTTGTGTATCTAGTAAATGCATTTTTAAGAACTGTAACAAACGAATTTTTTCTATCATAGATATTGTTGATATTGAACGATATGACTCGATGTGCTTTTCTTCGATGTACAAAACATACACAGACACTTGGTGAAGTCTCTTTCTCAAAAGAAAAATATATGACTCAAAATGTAGTAGAATCGAGACCAGTATGACTAGCTCTTGATAGTTCAATGAATTTTTTTCTGCAAAAAAAAATAATGCATACGTGTAATTTTCTTAAAAACTGTGTCATTACTTCATGCATAAAATCTACTTGTTCGAAAAATTTTCAAAAATAATCCAAATGTAGATTTTCTTCATTTATCTATTTAAAAAAATACCTCTTTTTGATTAATTTTAGGATCTTGTTCGACTATTGGTGCAGAAACCAATGTTTTGAAGGAGATTCGGTACTGAAATCAAGTTCAACATCAAACACCAAATTGAATGGTATACCTTTCGGCAAAAAATATTTTTCAAAGAGAAGAAGATTTCTGTACTCGTCCTCAGTACGTTTCGTAAAACTTTCTCTCGTCGACTTTCAGGGATGTTTTTTCTGAGAGAAATATTTTTTGCCACAAGATATACTGCTCGGTTCAAGTTTTGATGCTGAACTCGATTTTAATGCTGAATGTCCTTCTCAAGCATTGGTTTTTGCGCAAATATGCTCGAACAAGAGGCTAAGATTAGTTAAAGAAGAGTTTATTTTAACAAATACCTGCAAAAAATTCCACATTAAGAGGTTTTTTTGAATGAGTAGTTTTTGAGAAAGTTTCATGAACAAATTATTTTTGTTGTAGAGAAAAAGCGAGCGCGCTATAAAGAGTTGATTGCATCAGTGTTGTGTTTCCGCCACATTCTTCTTCATATATTGCACAGTGAACAAAGAAAACTTACTGACTGTCTATATACACTTTTACGGAGCGAACAAAAAGCACATTGGGCATGACTATTCACTATCAAAACTATTGGTGCATGGACAAAATTGGTTTTTCTAAATTCTTAGATATGCATTTGGACTGGATAAGCTTCTTCCTGTGAATGAGTGAAGAAAAGATTATAAGGTTGAAAACTTCATGATTTACTGAAATAGTGCGACATTTATCTCTACCTTCGAACATATTTTGTAGAACTCACATATATTTTCGAAGAAAATAGTGATTATAAGTTTCAAACCGAAGTTTTACGGCTTTCTCCTGTCCAATACAGACATTTAGCAACGAGAGTTCCCCTTGACCGTCACAGACTTTAACAATCGAGAATAACAGGCGCCAGACTTTCTAAAGCTTTTTGCCAAATTCATCCATCTATGATTTTGAAAAATAATGAATAGCATTGTTTGTTAGTTGATTAATGTATAATTAGATAGAATTTCATATAGATCTCACGAATATCTATGGCAGACTAATGTATCAATTAATTCCATGATTATAGTAACAAGAATGTCAAATTAAGAAAAACGAATTTGCAAAAAATGAAAAACAATGAACAAATAGCAACAATGCAAACAAAAAAGGAGTGCACATAGAAACAATAAAAAGCTTCTGTTCGGAATTAGAGAGGTCGTTACTTCGGTGATCGCTTAAGCTACAAAAGAGCTATAGTGTACGTGAGATTTTTTATTTTACATATTTTGTATCAGTTTAATGAGGCTAGTAAGCATATCTTAGTCCCACATTTCAGCTCCAAAGGGGCTAAGCTAACAAGTATTTTCTATTTTGAATATGTCAAAACGAATGAGAAAATATTATGCGTTTGGAAATTATGTGAAATTAATTACTCATGCAATTAACTTCATCAAGAGTTGGTTTTTACCAATAAAACGTCATTATTCAATTTTCACTTGGTATTTTCAACAAAATTTACTTATAGATACAAATCATCTACTTTCAACACTCGTACATGCTACATTTCGTTATTATAAGTAGAACGTGAGTTCTTTTTCCTACGATCTGATGGGGTAATACGTGTATGGTTTCTTCTTATTTACAGATAATGAAAAATTTCGAAAGTTTCTTTTGATCAATCCAATCAATGCAGCGAAAATCAACCAATATCAAAATAAACAATATAATCAGCCATTTTTTGCCAAAAGAATGAAGACGTCACCAATATTAGTAATGCTGGTGTAAGATTAGTCAAACTATGAATAATTATACCCTTTCAACATGACACGCTGCCAACACATGTGTCGGCAGCGTGTCATATTGAAATGAATAATAGCTTCAACGAGCTTCTATAATTCAATAATTTTTTATATGATTCTACTGGAGTTAGAGAAAGGCTTTGATGTACATATTGCCGTTCAAATGATTCATCTCAATGATGATCAATTTACAATCGAAAGTTCACTGAACGTCTCGACAATGAATGCAAGATCTAATCAAATAGAAATGGATGGACTCATATCGACTCCCCACACTTTATTTTAAACATTTGAAATCCTTATGGTATTTTAATACTAATGTATGAATTCTAGATAAATTATTTATTGCATCAGTTGACTTCAAAAAATTATTTTTATTTGTTCATTTGTTTAAAACGTAATCTATTCACTGATTCACTTTACTGTTTTTGAAATTTTTTTCTACTTAGTTTTGATTAAAATAAAAACTGCAAACAAAATTTCACAAATAGAAGAAACTTGATTTTATATCTAACTTACATTCACCGTTCATTTCATATTAACGAAGTTCACAACATGGTAGGTATCGATTCAAACAACAAAAATATTCTTGACACGAAGTATATTTGTCCTGTCTGTTCATTGATACTACGAGATCCTGCGCAATTGACTCAATGTGGCCATCGTGTGTGTCATACATGTTTAAATATTGAACAACAGTAAGTTTCATTATCAATTTGCAGCATTATTTTTCATTGTTCTTCCTTAAAAAGGACAATTATATGTCGACAATGTCAAGCAGAAACATTACGAAGTGACGTAAGATGTCTTTTAATAATTAAAGAAAAAACAATATTTATTTTGTGTAGGTGTTGCTTGATCGAGGCTTCACAAATGAAATGAAATCACTGTCTATTGATTGTTCTTTTTGTCAGTGGAATAGTATCTTGAGTAAATATCAAGTAATTTATGATATATTTATTTTATTCCTAAATTCTTCTTTTCTTTTTTGTTTCAAAGGAACATCTCGATCAGTCTCATTCAAATCTCAAATGTGAATGTTGTGGCAAACAGTTCAATTCTGTTAATAAATTTAATGAGCATAAAGTCATTGAATGCCAACAACTCATTGTTGACTGTATATTAAAAGACTTTGGTTGTAATGAACGAGTATGCATTATTTTCTAGACGAAATCAACAAGAAAAATCCATGTTCTTTAGTTTATTCGTGCCAAAATACAAGATCATTATTTAACTGAACAACATCAACAGGCTGTTCTCAAAGTTGTTCGTCAAATGTTATCAAAACTAAACAATAGAGGTGCAGATATTGATCTTCCTCGAACAACAACAACTGCTGATGCTTATAATTCTGCTACAACTCAGGTAGAAGAACTCTATGAAATGCTCAATATCTTAGTAGGGGGCATCGAAACACTGACCAATGATGAACAACGTCTAACCAATGAAGCACTTCAAATGCAAATGACACTTCCAACATTGACAGAAGAATTGTCGAAAATGAAATTATCTGTTGAAGAATCAAATGGATTTTTGGAAGCAGTCAAACATAATTACGCGATTCTTAACCAAGACTTATCGTCATTGCAAGAAAAGGTCAATGATTTGCAATGTGTTTCATATGATGGAACATTAGTTTGGAAGATAACAAACTTTCGAGAGAAAATGAGTAAGTTGAACAATTTATCTTATTCTCAATGATGAAAATAGAATGCGCTATCAAAAAATAGAATCAAATAATGATATGGTATTCGATTTCTATGATATCGGTAAATAATATATCAATGATTCAACGTGACATTCAACAGTATATATATACAGATACTTACTCTTGAATGCAATCTATGAGTAATCTGTCGATGAATTTAGGAGATGAATCATCAATTCTGTCGATGACTTAGATTTCTTTTCTACGTGCGTCTGCTTTTTACTTATTTTTTTGTGACACAAACACATTTGACGCAGGAAAACAGTGAGTATATGTTATAAGATTAGACCTTGCTCCCTTCATCTCTACCTTACCGATAGTAAGCCGGATCGAAGGGTGATAGTTAGAATATAGGTCGATGGTTTCAAGGTCGTTAACTGTCGCAACAACATTGACAAAGGTGCTCGTAAGAGGCTTTAACAATCAAGATTATAATCAGTGTATATACCTTTTCACATCAATCAAGGGAAAAAGGTATCAAACTTCATTTCTGTGATTTCTTAGGAAGACAGAAAGTCCACTAAATTGCATTAATAACGACTTTTGAGCAATTTAAGAATATTTTGAAGCTTTTCTCGAACTTGAAATATCTGGAATATGTTTCTCAATGTTCTGAATAGCACAGTTTTTGATTTTTGTGCAGATCGCTAATAATACTATAGATATTATAGAATATGACCAGATATGCTTGGATTTGTCACAGTTATCGTATGAGCAACACTAAAAGTATGAATCGATCAAGTTGTAGTTTTCAAGAATAATCAATATCAAGTTTTTGAGGTTTTCCACATACATAATAACATGTTGAGACATGTTGTAGATACAATAGATGTGTACACCTGGCTGTTAAGTCATTTGAATAAAAAATCAGAATAATCATGATAGTAATTTAAGACAATTGAAACAAAAGAGAATAAAAATAACAAGCGAATAGCAATAATATAAATTAAAAATACAGTGCAAGTGAAACAAATATCTTCGAAATGTCGATTTGAGTAAGACAGATACTTTTACTAGCGATCGATAGTCCTTGGAAAGTCACTTTAGACTTTTAGAGACTTTTCACTTAACCTATTTTGCATTACTGTAATGAAGCTGAAAGAAAAGGTATAAGTTTCACCTTTTAGTCCCAAAGAGACTATACTGACAACTTTTTAGTTTAATTTCTAGTTGATGCACAGTCTGAAAGACAAACATCAATTTATTCTCCTCCATTTTATTCATCTCCAAATGGGTATAAAATGAGAGCACGTCTTTACTTAAATGGTGATGGAAATGCTCGGCGTACACATATGTCACTCTTTTTTGTACTCATGCGAGGTTTAAATGACCCAATTCTCAAATTCCCGTTCAATTATAAGGTCACATTTTGTTTGTACGATCAAACTCCTCAACAACGGCATATCATCGATTCATTTCGACCAGATATTAAATCGAATAGTTTTCAGCGACCTCGATCGGATATGAATATAGCTAGTGGTATACCGAAATTTTTCCCATTGGAAGTGATTCAACAGGAAGGAAATCCGTATGTCAGAGACGACACAATGTTTATCAAAATTATGGTTGATTTTGGAGAAACACCCAAAACATTATTACCCTATGCTTTAAGTCTCAATCCAGGTCTACCCATGCATATTCAACAAGCAATGATCAAGCAAGAAGCTGAACGAAGATCCCAACCACATTCTGGCGAGCCAATGTTAATACCTCAGGGGTGACCACTGCCAATCAATTCAAGAAAGAAAATGTATAATTTTGTACTTGAGAAGAATAGAAGCTGCGAGAAGTACCAAAAAGTTCATAGAAGTACTTAGAACTATAATGAAATACATCGATATATACCAATGTGCTTGAATGTTCGTTCACTTTTATTTGGAGGGAAAATTTTCAGCTTCAACAGGCTGTACATGGTCAACTCACACAAGCGAGTGTGGGTAGAGAGAAGCCACCTATACCACACTGATACACAACTAATTCGATATATTCGTCAATCTCCTATTTCATAAGCACACCGTTTTTACGTGATTGCAAGTTATTCTATTCAATTTTATGTTTCAAAAAGTTGTATGTTATAGAATATGGCGAAATATCTGCTTAAAATAAAAAAGAACTAACATTGACAAACTATCCGTACATATTTCTGACAGACATGAAATCACTATTTTCATGAATATGAAGAAAAACAGTAACTCTTCGATAAAGGATACCGGTATAGCTGAGGGACATTAGTCTGATAAGTATGAGTGAGTAAAGATGTCGAAGTGAGGGTGTGTAAGTGTGGTTATGAGCAGCTTTCCATCACCCACATCCGCTTGTATAATTTATCGATGTACAGTTAATTGAAAGTGAACATCCATAGGGTTTTCCATACAAATAAATGTGAAGAAATCTTTAAGCACATTGTCATGCGTCGAGACATTTTATTGTAGTTCTGAGTATTTCTGTGTACTCCTCTGGTTACTTCTTTATATTTTGTTTTTCTGAAGTGCAAAGTGTGCTTTTTTCCTTGTGTTTTATTCACATCACGTATTTAATCAAGAATCAAGAGTTGTCTGCATTGAAATTATAATTTTTCATAATTTAAAAAATAAACCAGCTGTTACTGCAAGTTTTCCTGTCTCTTTAATAGCCATGCAAAGCTTATCGAGGGTGTGGGTGTGGGTGATGTGTGTGGGTGGGGGTGGGTGTGGGTGTGGTTGTGGGTGAGTGTGGGTGTGAGGTGTGGGTGTGGGTGGGTGTGGGAGTGGGGGTAGGTGTGGTACAGTATTCGTTAGGGGCTCATACCCACACCCTATCTCCCACACTCCACACCGACACTCACACCCCACACCCACACATCCACACACCCACACCCTAAGCATCGAATTTTTATTTAATTAGATACCATGCCTATTATTATTTCCTATCGAACCAAATAATGATTATTGCAATGGTCATCATTAGCTCGAGAACTGAAAGTTTCTTTTACATTATGTACAGATCGTAGAGAACGTCCATTTAAAAGAATCACTAACTTTCAGAACAGTTAGATCTTGGTGAGGACAGCAAAAGCTCTTAGAGACTCTAAATTTCCACATGCTTTCCAGTAGGAGACACTGGCCTCGTAATGGCTAAAAACAATCGTCCTTTCCTACCCATAATAGACCTTATAGATTCAAAATTCGTTTTTGACAAATATGAGCCTCTATTAAATGACTTCTTTTCTTCAGTTTTCTTATATCTCAGTGTATTCAAATAAAAATACTGATATGTTGAGAAGATTGTAGATTATGTATGTTCTTTTCATTAGAACATTTTTTTATGGACACAACATAATCTTTGCACAATCAATGCATTTTATTTCTAACCTTCTTTAATATGTTCTATTGTAGTTGTTGTATAATGAAGTTATCTACCAATGAATATAAAAACTAAATGTTATGTCGAATAAGCATAAAGTATGTGTCTGGATTAATGAATAACGTTTCACAGAACATCGTTGGTAAAATTGCATGTGAGAATTAGTCTTCTTCTCGAGTAATCTAAGTTGTTGTTTTTCTTTTCTATGCAGAAATTTAAAAACTAGAACGTGCATTGTCAGAAATCAGGCGATGATAAATAACCAATCATGTAGATTCTTATTGAATCAGAAGAGCGATGACTAGATAGAGTCATTGTTGACTATGGTCATTTTGATAAGGATCGCAATTAGGGGTGGACCATTTAATTTAATTTGAGTTAATTAACGACGTTAATTAACGAAAATCGTTAACCGTTAGTATTAACGAATTAACGTTTACAGGAAAACCGTTAACCGTTAATATTAACGGTTAACGAAAACCGTTAACGTTAAAATTAACGTTAACTAAAAACCGTTAACGTTAATATTAACGGTTAACGGAAACCGTTAACGTTAATATTAACGTTAACGGTTGTGAGTTAACCGTTAATTTACAGTTAATTAACTCATTAACGTATAATTTCGAACTTTTTATGAAAAAGACGACAGCCACATAGTGACTTTTTTACGTGAAGTCCTATATCAGTAAGGTACCCAGAGTTCCTCATGTCCTATACTAGGAGGATATCTAGGGTCCCTCAAGTACTACATGAGGGGTTATGTAGGGCACCTCAAGTCCTATATCAGAGGGTACCTAGCGCCCCTCAAGTCCTGCAGCAGGAGTGTACCTAGGGTCACTCTGGTCCTATATCAGGAGGTATCTAGGATCCCTCAAGTCCTATATCAGAAGGGTACCCAAGGCACCTCAAGTCCTACATTAGGGGTACCTGGGGTCCTTGAAGTGCTATATTATGTGGATATCTAGGGCCCCTCAAGTCCTATATCAGGAGTTATCTAGGGTCTCTCAAGTCCTATGTCAGAGGGGTACCTAGGGCACCTCAAGTCCTATATGACGACAATAGCTGGTGTACTGCAGTTCCTATACTAAGGAATCCCTTTGATTGTCTCAAACGCCACTTAAGGACGGTACGGATTATTTCCCAACGCATTTTTATATTGAACAGCATACTGCTCAAGGTAGGCCATCTGTGAAATACGCAAACACCTGCGAACACCTCGAAAGGAACGATAGTCCAGACCTATCTATATCGTTAACTAGAACTTGATGAGCTGTGCTCACGAATACCTACTTCATACGAGTCCGAAAATAGATTCGAATCGTGTAAGTCAAAATTTGTCTGCGAACACCTCTCAAACATGCTTGAAAATCTGCGAACACCAAACCAATAAAAATAAACACTCATGACAATCAATTTGAAAGCAAAACTTGTACGACTATATTGAAACTATATCTACAAATAACCGACTGACATTTTTTCCACTGCACTTTGACACATACAAACCGTCTGCGAACACCACGAAAGTGATTAAGAAAAATTTGCGAACACCAGTTATTTGGAAAGGTCTTACCTGAATACATAATATACCAACTGTTTATTGCTATTCTGACCAACATGGTACGTGAAAAATAGATCTAAATGTAAAGACTTCACTACGAATTATTTTACCAAAACTAGAATTTTCCTAAATTATAGGACCTCCCTATCAAATGTTGTAAACAATAAAGATTTATTTAATGAAAGAAGGATTCATTTCTAATCTAAAGTCATGTCTATAGACATTTAGTGGTAGTAATTAATTCTCTATGATATTGATCTGTATTTGGTCAATTAACGTTAATAAATAAATCCCAAAACTTTCAAATCTTAGCTGTTTAATAATTATAGGGCATCTCCGTCCCAAGCATAAGAATTTAGGAAAATTCTAGTTTTGGTAAAATAATTCGTAGTGAAGTCTTTACATTTAGATCTATTTTTCACGTACCATGTTGGTCAGAATAGCAATAAACAGTTGGTATATTATGTATTCAGGTAAGACCTTTCCAAATAACTGGTGTTCGCAAATTTTTCTTAATCACTTTCGTGGTGTTCGCAGACGGTTTGTATGTGTCAAAGTGCAGTGGAAAAAATGTCAGTCGGTTATTTGTAGATATAGTTTCAATATAGTCGTACAAGTTTTGCTTTCAAATTGATTGTCATGAGTGTTTATTTTTATTGGTTTGGTGTTCGCAGATTTTCAAGCATGTTTGAGAGGTGTTCGCAGACAAATTTTGACTTACACGATTCGAATCTATTTTCGGACTCGTATGAAGTAGATATTCGTGAGCACAGCTCATCAAGTTCTAGTTAACGATATAGATAGGTCTGGACTATCGTTCCTTTCGAGGTGTTCGCAGGTGTTTGCGTATTTTACAGATGGTCCTCAAGTTATGGCTTTGTAAGGGTGCTTGGAATGTTTTGTGCTTTGGTATGACTTGAGGTAAAGCTTACTCTTTCGGAATCTATAAGATCAATCCGTGTACACTCACCATCATCATTTTTCATGTCTACTCTGAAAAAAATATCGGAGCCCCACAGAACTATTTTTGGTTCTGCAGCATGTGCAGAACCAATTTCCAGTTCTGTAAGATAGTAAAAAACTTTGAAAGGTTTCGACCGATAATTCTGAACCAATGAAGGTTTTCACCAACAATTCTGAACCATAAAAAGTTCTGTGCACTAAGATGCTGAACCAAAGTGGTTCTGTCCAAAAATGCTGAACCAAAAATTCCTGTTTCTCAAAATCTGATGAATAGAAGAGGTTCTCTTCCATCTTACTGAACCTTGAATGGTTTCGCTCAATAATGCAAAACCATATGATGTTCTCCCACCAATAGTGAAAAAATAGGAAAGGTTCTGTCCAACAAAGCTGAATCTTGCGGGGTTCTGTCGAAAACTACTGGTCCATAAAAGGCTCTCTGTCAAAAAATACGGAACCTTCAAGCGTTCTGTCAAAAAATTCTGAGCTATAAAAGATACTTTATTCAAAGATACTGGTTTAGAAAGGGTTCTGACAGTCCTACAGAACTGTTCAGAGTTTCTCAGTCAAAATGCAGAACTATGAAAGAGTTTGACAGAAATAAACGTGATTCACCTTATACTTATTATGAAGTCTTTTTTCCAAATGTGTTTTAGCATATATGCGACAGAACTATTTTATGACATGTTATTTTATCTTCTTTTACTTCGTCATACGTTATTGTATTCTCATTCGAGCACTTCTGTTGGCCATCAAGAATGGTTTATTGTATATTTAGGTGACAGAGATGAAATGAATGTTTTTTTTTCCAGCAATTGTACTTCGGTTATATCGTTCATTTGTCATTTATTTCAGACTGAG